GCATCCTCATCCCTCTCAGCATCTTCATCCCTTTCCTCAGCCTCCCCATCCCTCTCCTCAGCCTCCTCATCCCTCTCCTCAGCATCCCCATCCCTCTCAGCATCCTCATCCCTCTCAGCATCTTCATCCCTCTCCTCAGCATCTTCATCCCTTTCCTCAGCCTGCTCATCTCTCTCCCCAGCCTCCTCATCCCTCAGCATCTTCATCCCTTTCCTCAGCCTCCTCATCCCTCTCCCCAGCATCCTCATCCCTCTCCCCAGCATCCCCATCCCTCTCAGCATCCTCATCCCTCTCAGCATCTTCATCCCTTTCCTCAGCCGCCCCATCCCTCTCCCCAGCATCCTCATCCCTCTCCCCAGCATCCCCATCCCTCTCAGCATCCTCATCCCTCTCAGCATCTTCATCCCTTTCCTCAGCCGCCCCATCCCTCTCCCCAGCATCCTCATCCCTCTCCCCAGCATCCCCATCCCTCTCAGCATCCTCATCCCTCTCAGCATCTTCATCCCTTTCCTCAGTCTCCCCATCCCTCTCCCCAGCATCTTCATCCCTCTCCTCAGCATCCCCATCCCTCTCCTCAGGCTCCCCATCCCTTTCCTCAGCCTCCCAATCCCTCTCCCCAGCCTCCCCATCCCTCTCCTCAGCATCCTCAACCCTCTCAGCATCCCCATCCCTCTCCTCAGCCTCCCCATCCCTCTCAGCATCCTCATCCCTCTCCTCAGCCTCCTCATCCCTCTCCTCAGCATCCTCATCCCTCTCCCCAGCCTCCTCATCCCTCTCACCAGCCTCCTCATCCCTCTCAGCATCCTCATCCCTCTCATCCCTCTCCTCAGCCTCCTCATCCCTCTCCCCAGCCTCCCCATCCCTCTCCTCAGCATCCCCATCCCTCTCCTCAGCATCCCCATCCCTCTCCCCAGCATCCTCATCCCTCTCCCCAGCATCCCCATCCCTCTCAGCATCCCCATCCCTCTCAGCATCCTCATCCCTCTCCTCAGCCTCCTCATCCCTTTCCTCAGCCTCCCAATCCCTCTCCCCAGCATCCTCATCCCTCTCCTCAGCCTCCCCATCCCTCTCCTCAGCCTCCCCATCCCTCTCCCCAGCATCCTCATCCCTCTCCTCAGCCTCCCCAACCCTCTCAGAATCCCCATCCCTCTCCCCAGCATCCTCATCCCTCTCAGCATCCTCATCCCTCTCCTCAGCATCCCCATCCCTCTTCCCAGCCTCCTCATCCCTCTCCTCAGCATCCCCATCCCTCTCCCCAGCATCCTCATCCCTCTCAGCCTCCTCATCCCTCTGCTCACCTGACTGGTCCATCTGCACTTTGGCAGCAGCTTTCTCTAGCTGGTCAGTGACCACCTCTACGTTGTGCATGCATTTCTGTACGATGTCGTCACGGTCGATAATCCTCAATGCCTTCTCCAACTTGTTACCTAGAGAGAGAGAGAGAGAGAGAGAGAG